ATACATATATAGAAATTGTGCTTTTATATACACATAATTGTATATAATCGTATATATACATTTTTGGCAATTGATATTTGTATAATATCAAGTTCAAGAAAAATATATCTCAATTCTGAGATAAAAATAAAAAGAAATATTTCGTCCGCATATGTACCTTTATTCTGGAAACGGCTTCTTCTGCTTGACACATACGGGTCGACTTCGTCGGTTGACCTTCGCATACTAATTGCGTGGATCCTAAGTACCTCGCGCGGAACAGGACACCTTCAATCAACACTGATGGATCATCCAACAAGTCTGAAAGAGGCACAGACACGTACCATTTAGAATTTTTGAGCCCACGTGTATCATGAAGTAGTGTGCCAAAAGCGGCTAAGCGCTTGGAAGAACATAGAGGTAGTTTAACAGACGACATGATTATAGTATCCAATAATGGATCCTCTTGTTCTATTTTGTTTGAATCTTCAATTAATATCTTCATATTGCATAAAAATATAATTTTATGATTCAATAAAATTATAAAATTTTTATAATCTTGCTATTCTCGCGACTACTTCAATTTTTTTTCATTACTGTTATTATTAATATAAAATTATATCGTATGTAATTTATTTTATTTTTTATTAAATTTATTTAATTTACGATACATATAAGTACGACAAACGATGTATACGTTCAAAATGCACAACTACATCACTTTGAAAGATTATGACACTTGTGAAACTCTTCAATACCGCTTATCAATAATTGGTGGTTTTATCGAGGAATACAAATAGAGAAATGTAAATATCAGAACATCTCAAATCTCTGAATGTGATCTATAAGTACACATAATAAATTTAGAGATACATCTTGATAAAACATATCACGCGTATGAAAGCATTGTTACACATAAATAAGATAGAAACATTGGATTATCAAGAAATACTATATAAAAGCGACAAGTAATATTGTATCAAATAATTAATTTTGAATTATAATTATTTCTAATAATTACAGTAATAGTATAACAATATGTACTCTAATTACATAATTACTCTAACTGTGTTATATAATTTTATGTATGTGGGTGTGTGTACATATATACATAGTTAAAATTTTGTTTATTTTGAACATGTCGAAAAACTAGACAATTTCGATAATAGAGCGGTTCAAATAACAAAGACTCACTAACTGTCCCTATACTAATACTTATTAGTTATTTCGATGATAGGAACTAACGTTCTGAAAACTGAAGTCGTATCTCGTCGCTCTTATTATCCGAACTGATGTGACGCCATAATATGGATAAGAGTTAGTTACGAGCTTGTATTTGGAATGGAATACTCCATTTTTACAAAATTTGAAATGGAGAATGTAGATAAATTCTATTGTATATGCATGTTCTATTGTATATGTATGTATAGACACATTCGCACATATGTATAAATATCTATATGCATGTATATGCATATAAAGAGTACCTACCAAACAATGATTAGAAGCAGATGTCGAATTTATATATCCGAGCAAGCAATAGAAAAAGAAATATTATATTAGCATTATAATAGTAATAAATAAAATGACTAAGAAATACAAAAAATTATATTGATAAAAATGTAACCGTACCTTCTTTGTTTCTGCTCTTTTTCTTTCCTTCCTTATCCTGCAAAATAGAACAGACAATGCATTTTGCATGATAAAACACAGATAAAACTTTGACGAATACGCTCGCAATTAAATCTCGTAAATATGATATATGTAATCTCACTTAAGCTGTAGAATGTGCTAACCATGCAGCAACTGCCATGTAAGAAAGCTAATAAATATTAACATATCCCTATTTACGTCTAGAAATAATTATAGTAATATAGTAATAATAATAATAATAATAGTAATAGTACAGTAATAGTAGATAAGTATTAAATGCTACGGTAATTTAATAATCTCTTCTTTTTGTGAAGCAACAATTATATTTATAAAGCACAGAAAAAAATGAGTTATTCTTAATTATATATTAATTTTTAAGATACGAATTTAGAGTTTAAATCAGAAAAAATGTCATATAATATGTACATATACGTATATAAACAAAGTTTAAACGATTATGTTTATATAACTTTTTTCTTGTTTCAATCTCTAGATTCTTTCCTTGAAGCATATATAATTAAAAATCATCCTATATAAAGCATTTCATTATCATTGCACTATTTGTGGATACGGAATAATCTAATATATATATATATATA